TGATCGGCCGGGAATCTTCGTCGATAAGGCCCCCCGCAGCTCATGTAAATGGTGCCGAGGGACATAGACGAATAGAGGGAAGACAATTGGTCCCAAGTTTCCTTGGCCGATTTCTTGTCCTTTATGTAGGAGGCGACGGCGGGAGAGCAGTGTAGACGGATCGTACCCATAGCCCTGACGTCTTTTTCCTTCCAGGCGTCAGCAGCGGTAGAGTCCCTGGTGGTACCGGAGATGACGACAGCTGGCTGCGTGATGCTGCCATCCACATTTCCCCAGAGACCTTGGGACATAAGGTACGCCATCATTTGCTCGGACCAGGTAGGCCAGTTCGAGCCGTCGAGGACGGGGACAACGGCGATCAGATTGTTCGACATTGTTTGAGGAGCGGTTGAGAGATCTGAAATCTGTATTGAGATCTCATCAGTATCAGCGAAGCTATGCAGCCCGATAAGGGCGCACTGCTCCATGCTGTTGGCTCCATTAGGGAGTTACCCCAGGATCGATCATCAAGCCTGATGGCTGCTGATAACAGCGCCTACGGCGATGATCACGCATCAAGCCACACTGCAGCCTATGAGGGCACATAGGGCGATGCACAGGTGAGCGAGGCGCAACGCGCTGCAGCGAGTTACCGCGCAGACGCAAGCTGCCTATTTGGGCTCATAACCTGATGAAGAGTTATGGAGGCAGCAGCACGCACAGTGCGCCCTACACAACTCACCTGTATGGGTTGGATGCTGTAGCTACTGGTAAAGCTCGTATAAACGACCCTTGTCATTAGGCAGCAGAGCTGCAGGGTTTATATACACAGTGGCCCATAGGCTGACTAAGCTACGTGGAATATCTATAATCCTACTGAGCTCCACCTATGATGTCACTGACCCACATGAGCTCCGTGCCCTGTACAATAATGGAATATACCAGAATGTTCCAGAGGGTTCCAGTACGTTCTGGTACGTTGTAGAACCTGGCAGCTAAGTCAGCGCCTAGTTCAACACATTTCACTGCTTCTTACCTTCTTACTCCCTTATTCCTATTGCCGGTTATCATTCTGCTTGCTCACGCTCTCCGAGCGGTTACTTTTTGCTATCTTTGTTGATCTTCCTATGGCTCGGTTGCTCAATCCTTTACATTACTTATGGTCTCTCTTCATCTTCACCCTTCTTAAGTAGATCTTAGGAAGACCTGTGTTGCTTATATCTACTTCGAAACTTCACGTCTTAGTGTCTTGAACATTGATCTGAGGCACGCTGCGTTGAACTTAGCTATTCTTAATGATGCTTTTTATGGGTCTTATTTCTCCCAGTAAGACAAAATTTAAGATATCCATAAGCAGAAAAGCTGAGTTAACTGTCGCCGTATAAGCCTTGAAAAGATGATTCAAGACCTAGAAAAGGAACTGTAAGCGGTGACTTGGCTTAGTTTCACTTAAGTCTTTCATAATGTCTTAGCAACTAAAATAAGCACAATTAAGACCACATAAGGTTATAAGGCCTCGGCAAGACGTCTCCGCATTTTGCTGATGTAATCCTGCATAATTATGCAGGATTAGACATGATTAGACATAATTAGCTCAGGAGGGTTTCCCTGATGGTGCTGTAGAGTGGTCAAGGTGTTCATGACAGCGACATCTTCGGACATGGACCGACGCCCACTGGCATATAGCGGACAGAGCTGAACCATGCAGGTGAGTGATAGCAGGTCTTCGGTTGTTCCTCTACTCTCGAGCAAGAGAGATATCTCCGTATATTCGGCGAGAGAAATAGAGGCAAGTACGTGTTTGCGAAGTTCCAATCGACGCTGCTCAGGTTTGGCCGCGGCAGCAAAGCGGTCGCGTGGCGATAAGGATATCCATGTCAATAGCGGTAACGCCATCATAGATTTCATCGGACCGTTCGTCAAGGATTATCTTTCGAGCCTTGGAAGCGTAGTATGCAAATCTTCCCCAATCACTCGCACTCGGAGGCCTGGCCAGAACCTAACGGTTTCAGTAAGTAGGGGCCGCCCGTGACGATAACGAAGGTACTCACGAGTGTGCCGGCGTCGTCGTGACGGCTTATGTACTATAGGTGTGGAGATTTAGAACAATTAAAGAAATTAAAGAAATTAAATCGCGCAGGAGGAGGAGGAGTACGGGTGCAAGCAAGACGAGACGGCTTTCCTGGTCCTGAATTGACTAGGAAGGCCTGGTCTTGCATCCCAGACGTCCAGGTACGAATATGGCTCTAATTATAATATGCTAAGATACATTCAGATATCAAGGATCTCGGTAACATAAAGTTCGGGCACAGGTTCCGTCCATCAACTTCCCGGCGCTCTGTGCCTATAACCGGGACGTTGAAGGACCCGCTTGCCCTCTGCCATCTTCGTCGTCGTCGGTGTCCTGCGCGAATAGGTGAGCTACCAACTTTTGAACAGATAAAGCACTGGACTGACGGGAGCACACGCACGCCCTTTGAAACGACCCTTGCAGTTCGTCTGGTTGCAGCGGACACATGCTCGCTTCTTGCGCTTGCGCACGAGCATGCGCTGCCGTTCCGCGGTACTTGCACTGTCTGCGCGCACACGCTTTGTAGCATTACGCGGGTGAGTCGGGCTGCCCGGCGCATCGAGCGGTCGAGGAGCCGGCGGAGGTAAGTCCCCTTCGCCGTAATTGAAGTGTATCGCTGACTGTCTGATGGAGTGCGCGCCCAACAGTCGCCCCACGTCCCATTCGTCTGCGATGTCTTTGATGCCGTGAGCGCCTTGCCCCCCGCTGTCACTGCTGTCCTTGACTTGCTTCCTTAGTGGCACCGGGTGTGCTGCCTGTCGTCGCGGAACATTGGGCTTGTCAGCTTCGAGACGGGCTGAGATCTCTTGGTACGCGGCCTGATTGATTTGGATTGATTTCTTCTCATTGACATTCTCTCCCCATGTCTTCCAGTAGCTCTTCAAATGCTCCTTGAGCTATGGGTGGCGATGTTAGGCCACGAACATGTAGAATAGTACCATGAACTTACTTTGTAGAAGATAGTGGTCCCATTGGCATGCTTTGCCCATTCAACAGCAAGGAGATCCCACTGCGGCTCCTTCTGAGCCCCGAAGCAGCCGTGAACACCTGTAATCAGCAGCTTGAATAAGGCACGCTCGTTGCTAGTGTGTACGGGCAGTATAGCGATCCGGGCATTCTGCCGGAATGCAAGTTGCCGGTGGCGGATCTTCTGTTCGATGGCGAACTGGTGATGATATGGCAGCATCCCTAGTTCAAGGCGTTTGTAATCGGGGAGTGCCAGGATGCCAAAGACCTCGGTTGATGGTGCATAGAGGTCTCCGTTAACCCAGCCGCCCGGACCGAAATTGAGTGGGAGAGATTCGAACCGGCTTGATGTGATATCAAGCAATGCTGATATCCGATTCTTTACCCATATATCAAACGAACCTACATACGGCACACCCGTACGATTGAGTGTCCCGACCTTAATCAACAAATGTCAGAATTATTTACTCCAGGGACATGAAAAATCCGTACCTTCAAATTGTGATACAGTACATAGTCCCGAAGCAGCTGGAGGGCGAACTCAGGTGCAGCATTAAATGATCCAAACCATCGGATAATATTCTGATGTACACCACCTTCAATGGCATTTGTTCCACGGCAGCACTTGTACCGCATGAGACCGTACTTATCTCTCCCTCGGATGAAGTACAGCTGCACTCCTGGCGGGTCAGAGTAATAGCCTCTGCGGATATTCTCCAACACATTTCCTGAGGTGTCCCATGCCCTATCGTTAAATAACGGCTGCCCCGTGATTGAGTCTTTCAGTGGGCCAAACTTCTGCAGCACGTTGCGAACTCGTGGCAACAGTATTTCGGCAGGCGGGACGATTCGCTTCACTCGTTGGAAGAGCCATCGTGAATGGAATAACAGCATCTTATCCCATGTTGTATTTCGCCCCTCTAGGAAAGTCTCCATGATAGCCTTGTCTTCAGGATCGGGGATGAAGAAAGCATCACGAAGTGCACGAGAGAACGGTCTTCGCAGGCCGTGGTGAACAGAGATTTTGAACTCATGCATAACATGGAATATGTCCCCGAGTACGCGTCCCCGGAGAGTCTCCCAGGCGACGCCTAGTTCATCCGAAGCCAGAGCATCAGCACGAGTCTGAGCAGATGGATCACTAGCAGAAGTTTCGACAACTTGCTCAGATGTGTTCATGCCCTCAGTGCACATATCCCAATCTTCATGCACAAGGCTCTGGAAAGGCTGATAAGGATCGTCGGAGGTGTTGTCGTTTATCTCCTCGGACGCGTGATCTTCGACTAGAGCAGCGGAAATATTTTCAGTTGCTGAAGTCGTGACTGAATGTGTCGGCTGCGTCTCTGATGCCGCTCGAGTCCGCAAGTGCCGTTCCTTGCACAGCAAAGTGAATGGAGGCGACGGGAAGTCATAAAGTGGTTTATCCTCATTGCCTGGCAGCAGTTCCTTCGGGATAAGGTGGCCTGGAACAAGAACGGAGGTGATTATAACCACCACACGCTTCGGTGAAACATTGACACCATCAACCTTCTTTGGTCGATCAAGGGCAATATGTCCCTGTGCAACTGGGCGATGATCAGAGGCAACCAGCGTAACAAGTGTACCACCAGGTGTGCTTGCAGTAACTGGCTCGCCGTCATCTCGTGTCTCGAGAGCCTTGAAAACAGCCCAGCTGGCATATACATCCAGAGCTGCATACTGCTGCTGAGCTTCACTCATTACATCATTGTCCCAGTCCGTACTGACTCGGATTGTGTCGTCCTTTGGTAGGTGCTGCCGTAGAAGCACAGCGACAAGCTCGACAAGGCCAGTGGTTGCCTTGATCGAAGGATTACGGATCTTTGCCAGAGCACCTAGGTTCACAGCACCCCGAAATGGTGCATCGATAGTGGCCTGGAAGCCACAGTTCTCGAACAGTCGCTTTAAGTCAGCTGTGACTTTGACCCCTATCTTGAGCACCGAGGGAGAACGGAGGAATGCCAACAAAGCAGATGGCAGATATAAGCAGCCATTCCGCAGGCAAGACCTCAACTGGAAGTTGTATAATGAGCATTCAGGCATAGAGTAGAGGTGAACAACATACCCAAATAAGCAAGATGATCCCATTAAATGCCACCGATATTACTGCTACCCGACCTGATAAGCCACTGCTACGGTCAACACTCCATTCCATATCAACAGCAGTATAAAGCTTCGAGTTTGGGCCCATGTCGTCCATAATATCATTGAACCGTGTATTGATCTGATAAACAGAGGATAAGAGAATCACCTCCCAGTCAGGGGGAACGGACAGAGGTGCAAGTGTGGACAGATCCGCCACAGGAGTCACTCCTTCCCGCAAGGATGGAATGATCGCCTCCAGTGCAGCTTTATCGCTCCTCACATTGTCGGTAAAGACAAGCTGGACGGGTTCATGCCCATACATCTCGAGCGACCGCGTGGCCTCTCTGAGCGCAGGCATATATTCATTGTGGGCCTTCGAAGGTGTCATAACCATAGTTCGGACCTCATTGAATTCATTTGTGCAAGTATGAAGCGCCGTAAATACGGGAACTCCATTGACCTTGCCCAGGTGTTTCGGAACCTGGAATATGGTTCTTAAATTTCAAGATGATTTAACTATCAAGGAAGCCAAACATACCTGATGGCTATGGTCAATGACCAGGATCTTGCCCGAGAGCATGGCGGTATACTTGTCCATCTCCTTCGCATGTGAGTTGATGTACTGCACATAGAACTGGCGAAAGTAATTTGGTGATGGCGTGAATCCAGCATAACCGCTACGATCATCAAAAAGACCAAAGGGTTTAAATTTTGATAGATATGCCGTGAATGGAGTCTGAAGCCGCGCCAGAACAATTTCGAGGTATTGCTCATGCAGCTTCTCATATCGGCGCAGATGGTGAGTCCGTATCATGTCAGCGAATGGTGTCGGGCCCATGCCATGCTGGAATGAGGATCGCATCAAGGCAACAACACGGTCCGTAAGACCCCCGCGATACGTCAGATGGAAGTCAAAATGGCATGCGAGAGCACGGGGGAGTGCATTGATGATTGAGGGACTCCAGCTTGTGAACGTCCTCTTGCACTCTTCATGTCCGCATTGATATCGAAAACCTATCAAATAAATACACTGGTCTATATCCACGACACGACGTGGAGACCTCGGGAAGCCATGGCTGCGGAGGAAGACAATGTCGCCGCCGTACCGTCTGCGGCCAGCGGCTGCGCATGCGGGGCATGGGATCCGAGAAACAAGCAGGTGCGGAAGCCACACAAAGTAGCTTGGGCGGTAGAAATCCTGCGGCATGGGTTGATGCTTACGGTCGGCAGCAAAGAATGGAAATGGGGATCCCTCCGTGAAGGTCGCCCGGTCATAGCATGTTGGTCTCTTTGTGGGATTGCGCCGCATCTCGGACTGTATCTTCTCCCGCACGTCCGCGTAGTCCTCCAAGAGCCACGTTGGGATGGAGGATCTGGGTACGCGACCGTGTGACCCGTTTCGCGGCGTGTTTGCGAATCGCACACTGTCGCTCTCGTCGTCATCGGGCACAGGGATGAATTCATCCTCATCTATGCTACCGTCATCATTGGTGGGACCTAAAATATGCTCGAGATCTTCATCATCCTCCAAATCCCCATCAACCTCCTCTGTGAATAGCTTTAGTATGTGCAACCGAAGAGAGCACAGATTTACGTACCTGACCATTCCTCCCAACTGAAAGCCCCAGAGTCGGGGCTACTCTCGATACCCCAACTCGCCTCCTCCGCTATGTCTTGCACAGAATCTGACACATCTAGTCGCAATGCTGCGAAGACAACATCAATATAAGTTAATTGAGAGCAGCAGTCCCGTACGCAATGACTGTCGAGATTCGAGAGCAAACTGGCCATCACCACCAGTATCTAGTATATCATTAGCCTCGTAGAAACGTGTGATAATGCAGCATAACATACCATCACCAACTGCATCGATTTCTTGTAAGTCTCTGTGTAACCCCGTTGCACTCAAGGTTGTGGCGGGGAGTAGGCTTAAAGCCCTCACATCGTCCGAGATCGTGTGATCTGTTGCGACTCCGCTTGAGCTCGTAGCCGCACTCGCATTGGCCGTATCCGGCGGTATGTCCAACCGCGTGCCGGACTGTGCACTCGAGTGCACATCCAGTGGGGTCCCGCCGGGCTGCAGACCAGGCAATTCTGCCTGGGCCAAGGTTCCCTCCACTGACGCGCCGGGTGTTCGAGCCGCACTTGCTGATTCTGTCGCCGGGATGGGCACCACATCTGGTGCGGACTCTTCGGACGGAGGTGCTGGAGGTGCGGTGGACCGGGTCTCCGATGGCAGGTGGGCGTTATGGTCTGTGTAGTACACGGGAAGATGGCGTGAGTAAGTCTGAAGAATGGAATGATGGAAATCAAAGCTTACCCGGAACGCGCTGTTCGGTCTGTTTTTGGCTGCTCTGACCTGCTCCTTGGGTAGCTTGTGCTGGGAATAGAAGTATACTTCAGTAACCTGAAGTTTAGATAGCATCCATATGCAGACTTACCAGGTAGACGCCTTGTCGGAGGCTGTCCGTCCTTCCGAGGACGCCCAACGTTCTTCGCATTGGGCCCATTCTTGGATCCCTTGGGGCGTCCACGCTTACGAGGTGCGGGTGGTGCTGACTCTACAGGATCTGTCGGCTCCATTGTGGTAAGACTGTACCACAGGCTCGACAGGTAGACTGCCACGCTGACTGCCAGCGACTGGGGAAGACGGACTTACGCGAGCGAGACAAGGCCGGGGAAGGCCGAAATATTCAGATTCCGCACTATATTTCAAACTCAGTTATAGATGTATGTGTCCACGCCTATAGTATAACTGCCGTCGTGACGGCCTGAATTGCTCGATAGCATCGCTGACGTAATCTCGTCTTTTCATGTCGCTATCACTTTGCGGTCATATAATGAGCGAGTCCTCCAAGTCTTGCAAGCCATGTTATGGACGGTGAAACGATAACGCTGTCGCTGTTCTTCATGGCCGTCGAATATAGCCCTTCTTGTTTCACTTGCGGCAACGGCGGCGCCTTAACTTCTCGGACGATAATTATTCAACTCTCACTTACAGTCGCAATTTTATTCATCCGGGAAGGGAACACTACTGTCGAGATGCACCATGATGGGGACATCCGAACAGCTGTCTATAACCCGAGTATGGCTCTCTTGGGAGTGAACTCTCTCCAGCATAAGTTTGATTCTCATCTGACTCCGGTGCGTCATGTGTGAACATCCTGACATATAACGCTCCGTACACCCGGGCTCATCCAGGCGCTCTTGTTCTTGGATGAGTAGCCTCAGTCGACTTTCCACTCCTCCTCGCCTGCCCGCGTTATCGATAAACGCCAGAGTACTTTGTACTGTAAGTTCAGTTGCTCTGAAACGCACGAAGGACCTCGGCCTCGGTGCGGGTGATCGAGACACTCCAATGCTGCTGTTCCGCGCCGTCTATCGTCGCTTCATCTCCGGTGCTTCAAAGCTTGTCGAAAATTACCATGCATCCCCGCAACGGCCTTACTTAGCCTCTAACGCAGTGCGTCATATACGAACATCCCGAAATATACTGTTGCGCACAACATGACTCATCTATGCTGCCTTGTTCTGGCTGGGCGACTCTCCGACTGCTTGCCTCCTCGCGTATCGATAAACGCCAGAATGCCTTTTGCTATAGATGATTTTGCTCTGAAACGAAGGAAGGACCTCGGCCTCGGTACGGGTGACCGCGAAACTTCCCCCTGCACTGAGCGTTTCGCGTTGTCTTCCAAGCCTGGAGGTTGTCCGTTCTGACTTAGATCGCAGCGCCTGCATGGCTGTTCTCCACCGCCTCGTTATTGGAAAACCCTTCCGAGACTCGTCAAATCCTTCAGACCTCGGAGATGAGATAGGGATCGATGACATGGAACGTATAGCGCAGCGGGGAAGTTAAATGGTTGCTAGTACGAAGGCCGAGGCCTATCGAGCGTTTCAGAGCAAATACGTATTCGGTTTTCGCTGATCTGTGACACGGCAGAGACTGGGCATGGGTTAGAAATCACCTGACTCTTTCGAAGGCGACGTTCTCTTGCATCCGACCACAATGGGCCAGATATTCATCTCAGCAGCCGCACAACTCATCTGTCCGCCCTTGTTCCAGTACGGCCCCTCACCGAGCACTCCGCCGGCAGCAGATGACCGAAAATTCGCTACCTTCATCTCCGCGGCCTGGACGTTCATTGCGGCCTCCACGTCAAGCCCTACTCCTGCTTTTCCCGGTGTTCCATGGCGTCATGTCCTTGAAACGCCAGCATCGTCAGGTAAAGTTGGAAACTCGAAACATACAGAAAAGCTCCACCGATCGACATGCATGCATAGCATACTTGTTTCTGGTTTTGCATCTCAGGGCTGCGTCTAGCGGCTCTAGCGTCGATGTTCGATCGCAGCGGTCATATGGACGATACTAGCAGACCATATCACGAATGTCTCAGTAACACGAGGCAAGGTTAATCGTACGCACCCTCTCGCTTAAAGGATAATCGAGGACCCACAACGTCCGCGCTAATTGTTGCGCTAACACGTTGCTGAAGGGTATCAATATCAGTGCGCGAGTCAATCTGATGCGCCTCGCGGGTCGGCTAACGCGTATTTTCTGATGCTTTGAATCTCGAGGCGAGGGTGCGGGGCGGCGACCCGGATATCTCGGGCGGCCGTGTTTCCCTGAGGTCATCGCGGGGATCGCGATCTCCGCTCTGAACTGACCTTTTGAACGTCGACTTCGGGGAGCTGGTGCGCGAGAGGGGCGAGGCTGGGCACAAAATGAGGTATGGACAAGTATATTTCCGCGTCCTGGATGCGTCCGGAACTACTTACATGGGTCAACACATAGTCCGCACACGGAATGAGAGAGTGATGGCGGATTTCATTCCTGTGTCACGGTTACTCGCGAATCGCCTGCCATTGCTGGTCTCTCGTCACCTTACGTGTGGCGAGAAAGGAACATCGCGGCCTCCAGGCGCATCGGCCTCGCCTTATGCTTGCGCTTCTCTCCTCCGCGCAGTCCCTTGCCTCCGTCCAGCGCACGTCATACCTGATCCCCATATGACACAGTAGGGAAGAGGCTGACATTGATGTGCCTGGTGTAGATCTGTGCGGCGCAGTTTATGACGGCGGCGACAGCGTTCATGGCGAGCTCGCGCTTGTGCTATGCGCTTGCGGAGGATAATGAAATGCTTATGTGCGAGTGGCTTAGGGCTTTGGATGAGAATCAGGCGCTGACCAGGTCTGCATCGCGATACTGACCTCCTCGTAGTTCGACGATATCTCATCGTCTGTGTCTGTAGCAGTCAACTCAAGCTATGTCCAACCGATAGTGGTTCGCCGCTTCGGGCCCGAGTCGTGAGTCTGTACCACTTTCAGCAACGTGGCAGAACGACGACGTAACCTCTCAGGTTTTACCGACGAGGGCCGTTCTCCCGTGGCCGGGCTCGTAGCATACTAACGTTCCCAGTGCCCTTTCATCCGGCCCTCTCGTCAAGTCCTGGCCATTCCACCAGTCCCCTTCTCTAAGTTCTGAGCATTCAATTTTGTCCTCATCATCCTGCCTACCTCATATCCCGTGGACTCAATAAACATTAACTAAGCCTGTCCTCGCCATCGGTGTTGTCATGCTCATTGTGGCGTTCACGTGGCTCTACATTGGTCGATCCATGTTTGTGGGTCTTGTGAGAACGGTCGAGCGGGAGACCTTTGATGAGGGCGATGACCAGCTCTTGCGAGTTATATGGGTGGCGCATCTATGACTAGTACTTGTATTATGCCGGTCGACCGTGCATGGTTGAGGGCTATATAAGCTTACAGTAGGCCCATATCTTTTCCGCGGTAAACCGAGACATCGATTAGCCGGGATGTCAGGGGTCTTTACCTTCATCTTTTGAATTCGTTCTCAACGGTCAGAATATCGCCGACCGAACGGTCTTTCTCTCCGGATGCACCGTGCGGCGTGCCTTATCAGATGGGGAACAGAGTCATAAAAACCGATCCTACCCCCAGCGGTCCTGCCTCCTGTCATCCCTCAGATGGCTCAGGCGCTTGCCGACACCAGTTGTCTCCGGTCTCATCTTATAATTACTCATTGCAACAGAAGCGCGATTCGAGATCTTTGGATGCATGAATTGTGAGGTTTGTACCTCTATTGTATATGACAGGCTGATGCTCTCATGGGTATCGAACACGACGGCGAAGTCACATAACGATGTTTCCATTGCAGTCAGAACCCTCAAATTGGACGGTCGTAAGCCACCCTAAAGTTGTGGCGGATACGAATACTATTATGCTCAGAGTCCGCGCCGTATCCATTGACCTCTCGCCACCCCCGATGCCTCTCTCAACAGCCGATCTCCCCGTCGACGATGAAACATCCTTCTCTCCTCACCGGTCCACGAATACTCCCGTAAAGTGGTTCCCCCTTTGCTCTATGCTCGTCAAGATAATGTTCTCCATCGGCGTCGGTTCACGGTCGCACTCGCACACTCCAGACTGGTCGGATGGATGCCCTAGTTGCTGGCATACAGTTCGTCTCTGGGCCTATCACCAGGTGAGCAAGCCGACCGGTCCAGAAATATACGATATAGCTCACATCGCTTTCCCTACACCAACGCCCAAAATGTCGAGCAATCATCCGCGCCAAGTCCCGGACTCTGATCGTATCGTTGGTTTCGTTTAGATTGACGCGTATGGCCTGTCCGTGTTGTCGGTACTAACGATCGGTAAGCAACTATTTCTGCTATCGCGAGAGGACGAGACGTACTTTGAATTCGAGGACACAAGGCTGGTATTCGCCTTCGTATCTTTGCAACATTATGTCGTTTCGACGTCCCCACCCCTCCATGCTGTCTCCATCGAGCACATCGACGGACACGCCTTTAAATACACAACGGTGTCGAATGGACTTGTCTCTGACACCAATCGAGATGATTCCTTCAATCTTTCGCGGTCGTTTCCGTTGTTTCGGTGTTGGGGCTCGGACCGGCACAAGCGACTCTGGCCTCTCTGCCGTCGACTGCGGCGGACGATAAAAGCGAAAGATGCCCTGTCGGCCACGGGAAGTGGATTTACCCCATGACGATGGTGCAGCAACTGATTGCGGGAAAGCTGAGACGCTCTCCCGTGGCTCTTTGGCTTGTTGTTCCGAAAATTCGGTGAGTTCATTAGATGAGCTCCCGGGAGCCGTCGATTGACTCATTTCAGGTGTCAATGGCTGGAACTCCGGGAGTTGACTATAGGCCGCATGTGTATGACGAGAAGACCCTATCCCCTGTGCCGGCCATACTTGGTTTGGATCCGTTACCGCCGCATACAACTGACGGAACGCTAGTCAGTACCTCGGGGACAACGCACGTAAGTCAGCTCGTACCTCCTCCGCCTCGTATAAAGGCTGTCGAAGCGAGGTAGTGAGATGTGGTGGCCACTTTCTGATAGGGATATACGACAAATCCTCCGGGGCTTGTCGTGCCTCCGGTATGTAGATCTAGAAGACACAGAATGAACACGCAAGGTTAGAAACTTGTGTAGGTGCGCTCGCACCTGATCCTCTCCATTATTCCATGTGCCTCCGAGGCCCGCATCTGTGAACACGACGTGGTCGACGTTTTGCGTATCCTGCAAATCGATGTTGTATGGGTACGCGACAGCTGTGTCTTCGCTGTGTACGAAGCTTCCCAGGTTCCCGTGGAACTAGGACGACGTGAGGCTCAGATCTGAAGGTAGACTGCGAGTGAGAGCTCGTACCTGATTATCGATCTCCACGTATGGAAATGCTAGCGACTCTCCGGTTTGTACCTCTCCCCACCCTTCCATAGGCGTGATTTGTGAAGCAGAGAACATTGGCGATGTACTCCCGCCGTCTTCGCCAGGCGTCACCATTGATATGGGAGTATCATACGCCTCAATTGACTCTAGTGCCCCGGTGCGGATCCCGTCCTGTGGCTGACAATATTCCATTGGCTGAGCTGTTGACGATAATGGTGACCCAGTCAGGTCGCAGTAGCTGGCGTACGTCGACTCGGGGGTGGCATACACCTGGACCGCTTCCGATGCTCCATGACAGGTGGATGATATTGGCAGATCATACATCGATGTTTGATGTGTCGATGGGAGTGAGGTGGTGCGGTCACCAGACGCAGGGGAGGTCGGCAGTGTGGGGCCGGTAGATGTGGCAGTGGATAGGCATGGCTCCTCAGATATCTATCCGAGCTTCAATATTGATACATTGTACCAGAATAGGTGTGTACTCATACCTTCGCTTCTTCCCACTCACCAAGCGCACCGGTCAACGTCGAGTAGGGTGCAGCCGTCACACCACTGGAGGCGACAGCGGTAGGCAAGCGCTCAACGTATATGTAGATAGGTTGTTGTTGCTCATCAGTCTGTCCAAGCATTGGGTACACATCCCTTGCCACCAGGTGAGTAAACCCTCGTACCTTCCCCACAACCCGTTCTACTAATGCGTCGGCCAACGTAGAGTCCTCAGATATCTCTGCACCCTGAAGTCTCGGCCACTCTTGGCGGCAGGCGAGGGCATCCCAGTCTTGGCCTTCCAAGTCGTAGTGGGATGTGGCACCGGTTGAAGACCCGACAAAAGTAGGCGTGCCGGATGCCTCGGGGTGCGTGGTGTACTGAGATATCGAGTCAGTCGTTTTGCGTAGATACTGGCGCGCAGGGTAGCATGTCTGTAATATATAAATTCGTACCGCGTCCTGATGGGTGCTCGAGCCACACGTGCTATTTACGGGCTCCTGTTGGTTGCGGGTGGCATGGATATGGGTTAGTAGTGGCTGAGAGATGAATGAACGTAAGAGGGCAGGATATCAAGAGGATCACGGTCCACTTACAGCTTCCATCGTATTATATCCCATATCTCGAGAGTAAGTCCAAGCACCGTCGACACAGTTGTCACCGTGTAGCATGGTGGGGTACGGCAGAGAATCATAACTACATGGTCGGCGTAAAGCCAACATAGCGATTGCTGGAGAAGTTAACTGGGCAGATTGCAGTGGATGGGGACAAAGGAAGTGATAGTTGAAAGCAAGGAAGATGCCGAGGAGAGGACTTTCGCAGGGTGGCGACTTGGACGAAATAATCGAATATCTCGGATCTACGCCAAATCCTGACAGCGTACAATTTGACCTTGTTCTATATCCATATGTATCAGCGACATAGTTACTCAATGGTAGTCCCAGGGGGAGTGATAACTGATTTCATGTCGCGTGCTACGGGATAAGAACCCATTCACCTCAGGGTAAGCGAGTACGGCTGCTTCTCCCTTCAGCTAAATCAATAAATTACTTAGATCTTGAAAATGGGAGGACAAGGGCAATTCTCGCTGAGGGCGTTGAAACAGGCCGTCTGTCCTTGGAAAATCGGATCACCGCCAGAGGTCATGCTGTGTGGCACCCAGATCCTTGCCTCCCTCACGGATTAGTCCCCTCGAGTTAGCGCCCTTGACAATGCGCGTATGTTTTACCGGTTCGTATGTTTCACCGGTTCTTGGTAACATACGAGATAATCCCTATTTCGCAATGAAGCCCTACCTGTGCTGCATTGCACATAACTGCCCCACGAGCTGCTATTACCGTACATGGCAGGTAGAGACCTATATATAGATATATTGAACTCCGTGGTAAACCAAGCATCGATCAGCCGGGATGTCTGGGGTCTTTCCAACGCTACGCGACGGCCGAGCGAAGAATGCTATGTTCATCATCGAACGACTCAAAATATCAAACCCTTGTAAGTCGCACTAAAACTGTTGCTGACGCTGACACCGTCCTATTTACATTGCTATCCCTCCTTTCTACACCATCTCTATCTTCTTTCTTCGTCTCTCCACCACCGATACCTTTTTCTTTTTTTTTTTGGACAAGTAATATGATTAAGTAGCTACCGACAATAGGTCCAGCTCTACTTAGTCTACTATAGCAAACGGTAATACCGTTTGGTCCGAGGGAAAATGCATTTACGCACGACCCCCGGTGGGTACCGGGGAGTGTAGGGCTCGATGGAACGCTTGGAGCTTCCGTTGAGTGGGAGTCCGCGGCGCCCTAATACCTACTAAAACCTCAGGGCGGGCTGCCCAGAATTGATCAAGTTGGTCTGTATTTGCGAGGACGGGCGTCCAGGTCCGAACTACCTTTTTGACTTCCTTCTCAGAGCGTTTCAGTTTACAGGCGACGACGTGATCAGTGCTAAGGCGACGGTTTATTGCTCTGGACCAACGTGAGGCAATAGCTTTGGGGGGATGGGTTCATTGTTGGATAACGCGTTCGCACCTAAGGACCCATAGGAGGTAGATGGCTTCGGATACTAAGATTTGAAGAAGCCGGGAGGCCCCGGGGTGGGGTTTCGTGAGTGGGGGCTCATGGTCGATAGTGGAGTCGGAATCAGAATCTTGGTCGTCATGGTGCAGGGTGTCGCGCAGTGGCACTGCAAGTTTGCCACAGCTCAGCAAGGCCCCAAAATTAAGGGCTGGCCAAGGGCCAAAGGAGTCTGGCCATAGGTCTTGGGTAAGCATCCAGACTCGGGCTGGTGTTAGACATTCAAGCAGTATGTGATCTAGGTTGTCGGAGCAGTCCTCACAGGTAGGGCATATGGCACGGGTTTCGTAGCCCGCGATGGGGAGCCAGTAGTCCCCGATCTTGTGCGCTCTTTGAATGGCCTTGTAGAGAAATTGTCTGACTAGTGGTCGCAGGTTTAGGTTGCGGCAAGAGTTCCACAACTGGGGTGCT